TGAGTGTTGGAAATGAAGTCAAAGGAGGTCGTGAGAATATAAATTGCTTTTCCCCTCCCTTTAGAAGATTTACAGTAACACTTTTTCCTTGGAAAGAACTTGTAAGCCAGGATTGTGAATCATGTGCCTTGTACAGGATGGAGGCAGCAAACCTGGTTTTGTCACTGTTTAATACTGAACTAGGAGAAGGTGTGAGAATGATGGAATCACAGACTGGTTTGGGTTGGAAGGGACCTTAAATCCAGTTCCACCCCCTTGCCATGGGCAGGGACACCTTCCCCTAGACCAGGTTGCTCAAAACCCCAACCTGTCAGAATTAATTGAAACAGTGCAAACAGCAGAGGTCTATTTATGGATGTTTTCTGGGGGGATTGGGGGGGTTTTGTTTGTTTTATAAGTGTTAGGATCAACAGGAGGACCCATCACTGATGGCCATATCATGATCAGTTATGAGAAGCACAAATATTTAACACTCAGAATTGTTCTGTGCTCCCTGACTCCAATGATTCCAGCATTTGAGACATTGCCTCCTGTGCAATTCCCTCGAATTGGAGGGACTGGAAGGAAGGGCAGTGATGGATGACAGATTCCTGAGGGTGGGATGGAGGTAGAGAGGGGTCCTGCTGCTTCTGGGAATGTGGAGCCAAAGGGTCAACCTTGGAGATGGCGGAGCAGTGAGTGGAACATGGAGAATTTTTGAAGGGCTGCTGAAATAAAGCACAGCAGGATTTCAGGGAGAGGGATTTCCAGGTGGAAACAGCACTGAAATGTGGATTTGCTGAGTTTTATAACCTGAGGGAAAACCAAACAGCACCAGATAACAAGGTGGCAGAGGGAGAGCAGCAGGAGGGGTGGTGGGCTCAGCACTCAGTGAGCTCCAGAGCTGGAGGGTTGTGTGAGGGAGAGAGCATGAACAAGGGGAAGAGAAACCCAGAAATGGGCAGTGAGGTGGAACGTGTTTGAGGCTTGTAACTAAGGAGGGGGAATGGATGTTAAATGAGAAGAGCAGAGAGGTACAACTGCCTGGAGCCAAAATGATCCTGTTGGCTGGAGTTGGAGAAGAAGTGGGAGAGTGTCCCTGGCTCTTCTTTGCACTGGAGCAAATGTTGTGGCTGTGTTCAGGCTGGCAGGGATGAGTGATGCTAATGGTAGTCTGGGAAGGAGCTCAGAAGAGAACCTTGGGTGATTATGAAACCAAATATATAAATAAATGCTCTCCCCAGTCAGGTTAAATAAGATCTGGAAGATAATAATGCTGTTTCTTGAGACATTTGTTTATTAATGTTGTTGTGGAGGTGGTTTTGTGGTGTTTGCTGCAGCTGTGGTGGGTGAGCAGAATGTTAAATTGCTCTTTTTATGGCCAAGGAAATAATTTTATGGGATTGATCTTCTGATCACAAGTGGATTTTATTCCTATTAAAGTTCAAGCCAGATCTCTGAGTATTGTACTATTTACAAACCTGGAAAAACAAGAAAACTTGCTCTAAAGGTTCACTGGGCAGAGGAGCCCAAGGATTTGAATGTGGCTTAAGACTGAAAGGATTTTAAATAGTCATGTTGCATGAAACTTCTTTTTTTTTTTCCCTAAGCAAAAATAAAATTCTCTGAATAGTTGACATCTCATATGGGATATTAAGAATAAATACAAGGTAGAAAAGTATCGTTTTCAGAGGGAGAACTATGAGTCAATGTTAAAATGGTTTTGATCTCCAAAAAAGGTGAGAATAGTCAAACAGCAATTGGATTTGGCAGATGCCCGTGTGCAGGAAATGTAAAACTAGTGCAAAGAAGGCTCTAAAACACAGGGTGTGAAGAGGGGAGAATGTAGTGAAGGTTGAGAATAATCCTACAGATGGTCCAAATGGCTCATGAGAGCCCTTGGATTTCCAGTGAAGAGGAAGTATTTTATTAATCATGGAATCCTGGAATGGTTTGGGTTGGAAGGGACCTTTGAAGCTCATCTCATTCCACCCCCTGCCATGGGCAGAGACACCTTCCACTAGCCCAGGTTGCTCCAAGCCCTGTCCAACCTGGTCTTGGACACTTCCAGGGAGCCACAACCTCTCTGGGATAATTATTAAATAGATAATTGGGATAATTAATAAATCCAGAGATTGGGAACTGAGGTGATAACAATAAAGAGGAAAGCACAGTTTGAATTTCTTAGTGTACAGTGCCTGGGACCCAGGTAGTTTTCATACTGGAATATTGGGGTGTATTTAAATAAAAATATCAAAGACATACATAGTACCTCTATATAAGAATAGCACAAGATCCACTCTCTGTAATTACTTGGGAATTGCATTCAGCGAATTCCCAGGAATTGCAGGGGTCCAGAGCACTGGTGCTGCTGCAAATGCCACTTGCTCTGGAGATCTGAGTGACTCCATGGGAAGGAGTTTTGGAAAAGGTCTTTGTGTGGCCCCTGCTCTGTCGAAAAGACAAAGTTACGGTTTGGAGGATAAAAAACCTTTCCCTGAGGCTGTGTTTAAAGTTAAACTTTAATTCCCTCTTCTCCAAATTTACAAATTTCATCTTTTCTGAAAGGCCTGGGAGCCCCTTGGAGCACAGTTAATTTTATGCACTCATATATCACAGAAATTGTGGCAAAGGATGTCGGACACTTTGAGTGTTTTTCCTCTCAGTGCAAATTAAACTCAGTCAGGTGGTGCCTGGCTGGGAGGAAAGGTTTTATTTTAACAGCTGAAACTCTTAACCTGCTTTCAGGAGCAGGAAGGTAAATTACAGAGCCAAAAACCTGTGATAAAAAGCTGGTACTAGGGGAGAGAGATGAAGCAGAAGATCTTATACAACCCTTTGGGGAACCTGAAGGGGGTTTGTTTCTCCATAAATGTCTGTACAAAGATGATATTTTTTTTTTCCTCTTCTATATAATTAGTTTAAAATGTGATGACATAACAAAACATCCCTGGCACCTGAGCAAAAAACAAAGGCTGGGGCTTGCAAGAAGGAGTTGCTTTAAATGTGCAGTTTTCCGTGCAGAGCAGTTGGTGCTGGTGAAATTCAAGTTAATATTGGCAGGTTCATCTCAGCCTTCTGGACTAATGGCAAGTTTTTGAGCTCTAGATGTTCTGGTTGGCTGGATTGTCCATTTTGAGCACATGGAGCCTTCCAAAAAGGCACTTGGGGTGGAAGTGGGGTCACAGAGTTGTGTGTTTGAAATTGGTTTTGTACTGGGAACAGCAGTGAGAACCTGGGCACCTGCCCAGCTCAGCCCTTGCACAGGTTCTTATATTATTATATTACTATTACATTATTATATTATTTTATTGTTATATTATTACACACAGTGTTCATTTTGTGTGTCTGAGCCTTTAATTCTGTAAGGAATTAATTGCTTGTGTTGGAATTTGTTGCCAACATAAGCTTTGGAAGAAATTCTGAAAAAAAAAAGAAAAAGCCCCCAAAATCAATCAAAGAAATAAAACCACCAACCCCCCAACCTCTAAAGAACCCAAACAGCTTTAAGCTGATAAATTGTTTCTTTTTCTACTGGAAAATTAAAAATGCAAAGTCATGTTGACTTGGATTCGAAGTGCCTGTGAATTGTAGTTAGGGAGGGATTTTTCTGTTTGTGTTTTAACCTTAGTAATTACAGCTACTACAGTGACAACCATTTATTTTTTGAAATGGCTGATCTATGGATTTTAAGCCCAATAAACATTGCCTGCTGCCAGAACTCCCAAAACTGAGCACCAGGCTGTTCCTAAGCAATTAAATGTTGTGGCTCAGGCCTGAGCTCCCAGTGACTCCATCCCTCCTGGCAGGAAAACTCATTAGCCATGGGAAGATATTTCCCCAGGGAATTGGATTTCTGCATTTCCAACCAACACAAGAGGCACTGGCAGGTCTGGGGCTCTGGGATGGGGCAGGTGGGGATTTGGGAAGCAGCTGCATTTTGCTTTTTGAACCCAAGTTCTCCCCATAAAGGAGAATATCTCGTTATTCATTCTCATTGTGTCACCATCTTAGTCAAACTTCTGCTCTCTACAAAATAAATGTTTCTAAGTGAAATAATTGGGCACTGGGCAGGTAGCACTGGCACTCTGGCACAGGTTTTCCTTCCCTGGAGATACACAAAACCTTTCTGGACACAGTCTGTGACTGTTCCAGGAGACCCTGTTTGAGCAGAGGTGGGACTTGATGGTCTCCAATGGTTCTTTCCAGCCTGAACCATTCTGGGATCCCTGTTTACACATCACAGGTGCACATGTATGTGTAAAAAAATAAAAGCTAATGGAAAAGAAATGCTCACTTCTGGGAAAAATGTGCTGGTTTGCCCCTAGAATCCCAGGCTGGTTTGGGTTGGAAGGGACCTTAAAGCTCATCTCATTCCAACCCGTGGCAAGGACACCTTCCACTGGCCCAGGTTGCTCCAAGCCCTGTCCAGTCTGGTCTCATCCCTTTCTTTAATTTTTAGGAAGTCCTGATTATTTCAAGGTAGTTGGAATTCAGCTTCCAGGGGGAAAATGGAAGTGTTTCAGGGTGGTGCTGAGACAAGACTGAGCAGTAGAGAAGTGGGGTGTTCCTGGCTCTGGATGGCTTTGTCACATCCACGCTGAGGGCTGAGGAGCTCTCGGTGTTGCTGTGGTGCTGAGGTCACTCTGTGCCTCCGGGGGCTCCTCTGGCTCGGGTTAAAGCAGCTCCTTCGTTCCTCTGTGTGAGAGCTGCCAGAGCTCAAACCAAACTTCCCCTTGTGATAAAGTCTCTCTGGGGCTGGGGGTTCTGCTTCTGTGAAGGGCTGCACCTGTCCCATGGCAGAGGAGTTTGCCCTGAGAGATTTGGGGTGAGTTTGCCCGTGGCAGGTCGTGGTGCCTCCCTGAGACCCCCGTGGGGCAAACAGGGCTCTGCTCCGGCCGTGTGCGAGCAGAGCCAACAGTTCCTGGGGATGGTTCAGTCTCTTCACGCTGACATTTGGTTTCTGCAGCCTGCTGTGAGTTGTTCATGTGGTTGTTAATGCTTTGGCTGTGCCCCTGCAGGTGGAGGCACTGACCCACCAGCCCAGAGCCACCACGGTGCACGCGGTCAGGGACTCCGAGCTGGCCAAGCTGCCCGAGGGAGCCCTGATATCCATCAAACGCAAGTTCCCGCAGGTAAGAGGATTAAAAGTGTTGCTCTGTCTGTCTCAAAGATGTCTGAGAGGCTCAAACTCCCCCTGAGTCCTCTGGGTTTGCTGGTTGACTGATGCATGCTGAGAAAACACTGTGTTCTCCTCGGCTGCCGGAGCGGATCCAGCCCAGACTCCCACCAGCCTTTCCTCCTCTGTCTCCTGATCAGCTGGAGTTTTATTGCAGGGCTGGCTTGGGTATCTGGAAGAAATTCTGCTTAAATGCAGGATGTGCATATTTAGCAAAGTGGAAATCACTTAGTGCTGCTGATAGGAAATGGAAGTTTGACTTCTAAAATCACTTTAAGTTGTTGTTGCTCATTCATCCTCCCCGCTGGGGCTCCGAGTCAGCACTTGTTTCTGTGTACCTTTATTTCCAGAGCTTTGATATTTGGGGGTTGGTTTTCCTCTTCCTGCCATTTTAGGCTGTCAATCCTCATTCTGCAACTGCCAGAGCTGTCTGTGTCCTAAAGACTGTGATTGCTCCCTTTGAATCCATCAACTCATCCATCTTCTTTAATTCATTTGACATTATACCTCTCCCCTGCAAATCTGGAGACTGACGGACTTGAAATTTAATTCTTTGGTCCCTAAGTGCATCAGGGACATTAAACTAAGCACTAAATCATTGCACTGGCCTTAGAGGCAATTCTTTAATGCTGTTACTTCAAGTTATTTCTGATTTTTCTCTTTGCTGTCTTTCAGACGTAGACTTTTTTACTAGATTGCATAAAAAAACCCCACCACCCTACAAAAATAACAAACCTAATTAAAATACTTGCATTCTTTTGCCTTCCTAGGACCTGTAATAACTTTTAAAATTATTTTTTAACTGTATAATGTAAAGCCTGTGTTTCATGCATTTTCAGGTTACCAAAGTGTGGGGTTTTGTCTGTATTATTGCCAGGATAATTTCATCATTTTGAGTTTCATTGAGTGTTCAGGAGTTACGTCAATGAAAAATAATCTTCTTTCTGGTTTCCCTGTAAGCATTATTTTTGCTTCAGCGTTTCTGAACTTCTCTTGGAGATTGTTAAGGCAATTCCTGTCCCTGGAGTTCACTTGAATAGTCCTCTGAGTCCATTCCTCTCTATTTAGTGTAAGAGATTTCCTGCCCAGTGGATGAACTGGGAGCAGGGTGTAACCTCTGCACAGAACTACCCCCAGACTGGGTAGGACAGTGTGACCTCCTCTCTGGGATGGCCCTTTCAACTCTCACTCTCCTTGTGACTGATCAAGAAGGGAAGAAACGAGCCAGGGAGGATTTAAAACCTCCTTCCTGCTTGCACAGCAGGTGATTTCAGTGTTCCTGATAAACACGGAGGCTGTAAATTACCAGGACCATGGTTTGGGTTGGAAGGGACCTTAAAGCTCATCTTATTCCACCCCCTGCCCTGGGCAGGGACACCTTCCAGCAGCCCAGGTTGCTCAGAGCCCAGTCCAGCCTGGCCCAAACATTGAGCAATGCCTTGAAGGCTGCTCTGCACAAAGGCTGGGTTCTAATTCTGCCTTTTTATCTGGGGCAGGAATTTATTTCAGTGTCTCTTTTCTCTCTCTTCCCCCTTCCCATTCTGCCAGCTGGCAGAGTTGTTTTCCCCTGAAGAGTGATCTCTGTGGAGCTGTGAATCTCTTTGCTCTGCAGTTCAAGTTGAGCTCGAGTGTTACATTTATAGTACAAATCAAAACATTTATTTGTAAGAGAATTCAAATGTCTTCCCATGTCTGAAGAATACAGCCTCAAATTCCTGACCTTTTTCAGTATGGAATTGGTTTTCTCCAGACTTGCATATAGTGTGGCTAATTAGTTGCAATGAAACAGAAATGCTAAAATAGATATTTTAAGGAAATGTGTTGCAAAAGAGGTTGTTAGAAAAACACATTTGTGCTGCTGTTTGAGGTCTTCAACTTCTAAATGGATGTTAAACTGGTATAAAAAATGTGAGAACTTAGATTTTTTTTCTTTTTCTATGGGATTATTTTAGAACCAGCACTAGAAATAGAAAGAGGAGCATAAGATAGACTTTATGTAGGTGATTTGTGCAGTTAATGCCTTCAGACTCTCTTAAGAACTTGAGATAAAATGTTTTTATAAGATTTCAGAGTCCTTGTGCCTTGGTTTGGGGTGGAAGGGACCTTAAAGCTCATCTCATTCCACAGTAGGTTAGAAAGTTTGGAGATAAGTCGAACGTACAAAGTCAACTTTAAAGGATTTTACTGGAGAGAAGTGTTTGAGCTGAAAACTCATGAACTGCATCCAGAGGACAGGGGCTGGGTAGCTGTTCCTTAGAAAAAGGATCCAGGCATTGGAGAATCAAAAGCTGCCCGTGCCAGGACAGTGCCAGGCAGTTGAAAAAAAAATGAACTATTTTAACAAAAGGCTTTTTAGAGTGAAGAAATCCTGACATTCTCCCTGATACTGGAAAAGCTTCAGCACCAGCCTGTGGCAGCACCTTTTGAAGGCAGAGGCAGAGCAAAGGAGGAGTCTGGAGGACAAAAAGGCAGCTGAGTGCTGGGTAGAAATACTGCCCTATAAAGACAAAAAGCCTGTGAAAGGTTAGGGGAAGATGTGGTAGCTATTTTCAGACGTGTAAAGTTGTCTTCTGCTAGAAAGGGCAGAAGCTGCTCATGGTACTGGAACGGAGCAGGTGGGACTGAGCTGAAAGGGCAGCAGTTGGGTGGTGAGAAAAAGCTGATTCTGCTCCCTAGAAAGACTGAAAGATTGTTGCTTGTTTTTATAACCTCCTTTAAAATGATCCTTGAAGTGATCCTTACTGCAGAGCAGAGGGATGGGCCAAATGAATTCTCTCTGTCCTATTTTCACAGCTGTTATTCTGATGGAGTGATTTATACCCAGGTTTATGATGTTGTTTTCCCCACTCAACCAGAAGTAATAAAGTAATGAAGGGATAGCAGGTGCAATAGTTCTGAAATAATCAACTAGGTAGCAGGAGCTGGCTGGTGATTCAGTACTGTGGTGGAGGATTTCCCTCCTGGTCCTCTGCAAAGCAGAAAACCACCTTTTAGGGAGAAGAAAAGCAACTCTCTGCCTCTATCAAACCCCTGCTCCTCCACTGCCCGGGGAGGGTGAGTTATGAGTCTCACTTGGTGGATAATGGTCAAACACTGGTGCTTGTCCCCTGAGTCCCTCCTAGAGGAATGCCACACCAGGGATAACTGGGGTTTTTTGTGATCCTCTTGGCAGATCCCATAGAGCCTGAATAGTGTGTGAGTTAACAGCCAAGAACTGGGCAGTTCCTGAGCATGAGTTCCCTTTTCAGTTATCCTTGAGCTTTACTGTTTCTTGTCAAGGGCGAAGAACCTTTTTAATTCTAGGAATTAGTGGATGGACTTCATCCTGCAGCCTTTTCCCCAGCCATGCTGTGTTTGTAGGGGATCCAGAAAGGTTTCCAACCCTGGAAATGCATTGTAAGAAAATATTACCTGATGGGTAAGAAAACTGTAGGACGTGGGTGGTGCTTGCCAATAACAACAGTGTGAAATGAGGGAAATCCTTCTCTGTTAGTCCAGGCAGTGATTCCAGTTCCTTGAGCTGTGATGGACAATCTGGAAAAATGGCAGGGCTGATCCTTGGGGAAGCTCCATATGCTTGTCCTCTGTTTTGTCTTCTCTCCTGACCAGCTGCTTTGGTCCTGGGAGAGACAGAATGCTGCTCTGCTGGGATCTTCCATGTGACCCACTGGAGCTCAGCTTATTCTGAGGGCTGAAACAGATGGGTGAGGATGGGGAGTCTGATCTCAGTTATAAATAACAGCCAAAATTCCAGAGTATGTGCCCAGAAATGCCAGATGTTGACTTCTAGATCCTGCTCAGTCTGCACAAGTCAAATTTACATTGTCTGGCTTCTCAGCCTTGATTCGCTCTGGCCGTGGCATCCTGGACGTTCCCAATGGAAGTGGTGCATGGTGCCAAACTTCTCCTTTGTTTTGTCAGCCCTGGTGCCCAGAGCTCTCCAGCACAGCCATCAGGGCACTCTGCCAGCCCCAGCATTTGCTCTCCGACAGCCCCCGTGTCGCTCCTGGTGCCGCTCGAAGCTTTCCAGCCTTGCAGGAAATCGATTCTTTCTATTTTCATCCCTGCCTTCAGTTCTGGAAAGTAGGACAGGGAAAGGGAACCAGCTCACGATTCCTGGCACTGCAAAGCAGCATCGAGGCAGCAGCGAGAGCTCCGAGCCTGTGAACAGATCACAGAGATGTTCCAACGTCGCTGCAGAGCTGGGATCACATTTCCTAGATTAGCTTTGCCTCTCCCGAGCTGAGAGAGTTTTTAGAATTCTAACTTGAAATTTAGACCTGCTGGAGCTGATGGAAATTGTGCTGAGAAATTGCTTGGGAGCTGTGGGGGCTGAACTGTGAGACAACCTTTGGCATGCTGAAAAATAGAAAGAGTTTTTTTTCTGCATCTTTCTTTTAATTCTCTAAGTTGGCCCCTGGGGTTTAAATATATTCAGAACCCATCATCCATCTCCAGCTGGAGTTCTGCTATCTTTATATGTGTATTTTAACCAGAGCCCTTCTGAAGTGGCTGGAGCCTTCCCCAGGGTTATCTGCCTTACAAAGTGAGCTCAGCAATGTGCCCTCTTTTCAAAATGCTCCCCTCGGGCAGCGGGAATATTGTGCGTCATTACTTGAGCTTGATGTGGCCCTGTGGAATAGGTCAGGAGGGGCTGTGCTTCTGGATTTTTCTGTATTTGTTCTCATGGGCCATTAAAATAAGTGTTCCTTGACTGCAGGAGAAGTGGAGGTGAAAAGGAGAGAAGGAAGGTGTTCAGTGGAAGCACCGTGGGCACCCAGGGCAGGCAGGCAGGAGGGAGCCCTTGATCGGAGCAGCGATGCCTGAATGACGTTTTTCCTCAAGACTCTGATTGATCCCAAGCCTTGGCAGCTCAAACAGCCTCAGGATAAAGCTTCAGTTCCCCTGTGTGCTTTAGCAGCATTTGTAAAGGTGCCAGGCATTGTTGTGAGGGAG